TTTTTTCAAAAACTTAAAAGAGAGATCATATATACTCTGAAAAACGTTTTAGAATATGATCATATCACACACTTTTCAGAAAGAATACAAGTGGTAAAGATTGATTAAATAAGATGAGTTCTTGAAAGATTTCAAGAAATTTATGAGCTAATCTTTGTTGAAGATCATTCTACACATATCAGGTGTATTCTCTCTGATCTTAAAACTTTTTTTGTACTATTGGGTTGTATTACTCTTTGAGATAGGGTGTCTCAAGAAGATCATTAAGATGAATCTTGAGATTGCTTTCTCTTAAGTAGATTCTTGTAGGGTGTAAGAATCTTTGTTTGTGAAATCTTGTGGATTCAAGATAGGGTATGATTTTCATTCTGATTGTAATATTGCTTGTACATGGTGTGTGTAAATCATATTATAGTGGAATGACTTGATTGCTAAGTCAGAAACTGGATGTAGGCCCTTGTATGGCTGAACCAGTATAGATCACTGTGTATTTCTCTCTTAACCTTCATCTCTTGATATAATTCTTGTGAAAATTGTTTAAAATAATTTCAAGAAAATGTTTTTTTGAATGTTATCAATTGCTTATTCATATTCAATTTATCATATATGCAATTTGGTAATAAAAGAAAGAAGGAAAAATACTAAAATCAATTTGGATTACAAATACTTGTTCCACTGTGTGGTAAATATGTTAATTTGTATCTCTTACTAAGTTGTAATATGAATTTGATTAATTGATGTTGGAATAAGAAAGAAGAGAATAAGAAATTTTTTAAGTTCATAGAAAGTCATCTAAGTGAAGAATTTATTCAACCCCCTTTCTAGATTCATGTCCTACCAAAACTAACAACTTGGACCTCTTTGTGGCTCCTTAGTGCCAGGTGAAATTATAATTTGGCCGGGCGTGAATTTGTGGTGTGATAAATGTATTGATGTGTTTTGAAGATGATTTTGAGTTGTATGACGTCCTTGATAACTGTTGTATGAATAAAAACATATGGTGTGTATGTGGATGAGTATAATTTGAGTATGAATGTTGTGTATTTGGAGGAGTGTAATTGAATATGAGTGGTGTGTACTTGGATGAGTTGACATACAAATGTGGTTAAATATAACTTTATTATAAATTATGCATTGGCGTGAAAGGATAAGGGTATGATGTGACTTGGCATGAGTATTGGTGCATGTTGCGTACGCATTTACCTTAGCCTAAGTAGTGGTTGTTAACAAGGGATGTATCCTTAAACACTAGCCTAAGTGGTAATTAATAATGTGACACCGGTCATGAGTGATGTAAATGGTGTGGGATACATTATTTGTACACTAGGCTAAATGGTGATTAATAGTGTGACACCGATCATAAGTGATGTAAATGGTGTGGCCATTAGTGGCGGTGCTTGAGGAGATTGATGAGGTTCGATCATTGTGTGGCACTCTAAGTCAATGCTTCTTAGGAGGTTGCATTTCATTTGCATTGATGTGAGCATGAGCATGACATATGAGTTGTATGATGATGTGACTAGAGTAATAATAATCGTTGAATATATGTGGTGATGACATGGTTGTGATTGAATTGTATGTTGGGTATACTATATGTTTGGATTGGAGTTCTCTTCTTGTGATTTACATATGAATACTTATTTTTCTTACTCGTATGCTTTGTGGTTTTATTTTAGGTAATGATGACCATGATGAGGGTGGCACTTAAGGTGCCGAGAGTTAAAGTTACGGGTTTGTTTTGATAATGTGACATCGAGGCAATGAGATTAGAGTAGAAGTTTATAACTTATTTTAATTTTCCATTTCTTCCTTGTTTAGATACAATTGTCAACCTTATACTGTATAATTTTATTTTAATTTGATTGGATGTTTAGAGGTAGTTTCTATGTGAACCTATTCTACCTGAGTATCTATTGAAACTTTTCCTTATTCAATTATATCATATGTTGCGGTAGAATGGGTGTCATAGCCGAGAGGTCAGAAATCTCTCCATAGTGTTTGCCCTAGGTGAGGCTAAGGCCAAGCTTGGTGAGAAACTTTCATAAAAACAACATCAAATGGCACCTAGTGAAGCATATTTGGCACCCAATGCTAAAGGAACAAAGGCATCTTTTGAATCATCATACCCAATGTTGTGAATCTACACCCGATATGATCAAAAAGTCTGAACTTACGTATAAATGAGATATAGAATTTTTTACCCTCCAAACTCATTCTTAACACTTATAATTCCAATTTAATTAGTATAACATTTTCAATTCACTCTTAGAACACTTTTATACCATCAATTTTCTCCCAAACATTCCTAACATACAAAACCCCCCATACATGAACTCTAACTCCCAAAAGAAACAAACACATGACAAATGATAAATCAACACCACAAATCATGAGAATTACAACAATATATAGTCTTACTCACACTAAAACAAATACAATATCATTAAATGTATATAAAGAAAACTAAAGAGGCTTAGGGATTGTCTTACTACCTATAATATTTATACATGCCACATAAAGAGACAATCTCACTCCCTTTTTTACCTCAAATGATGATCTTTGGAGTGAAAGGCATTATCTCGATAGTGTGGAGGTTGTTCCACACACTCCTAAGGGTTATCCTTTAAGTTCTCCTCTATAGGTTCCCTCTAAGTTTCAGAAACTCTAAAACTGATCGTACTTATGTTACCTAACTCTTACTTTTCTCTATATAATAACGTAAACTTTGGGTTGGACTTCTTAAAGTTCAAACCCAAAGACTAATTCACTGACTCAACATTTGCCTTATTTTATTTTTTAAAATTTTTTATTTATTTTCTATACCAAAATAACTTTGTTTATTTTAAAAGCCAAATTAGCCAAATTAACCAAATTAATTGAGTAAATAAGATAAATTATATGTTAAATAATAATTTTTATTTTATTTACAAAAAATAGGATGTTACAATAATCCTCCACAAATGATATCAGGTGAACTTAATGAACATATCCATTTTGTCCTTCCAATATGGGTAATCTCATCCATTAAAGGTTAGAGACCCTATAAAGAAAGCTTATTTTGGTAGGTACTATCCTTCATTACTTCTCATCTTTGGATATTTTCCTTTAGTACTATTTGATGTTCAACTTTGTTAAAAGTTAAGTTCTAAGACCAGATTATGGAGTAAAGACAGACATAAGAAAAGGAGTTTAATTGTGTTTATTGAAAACATCAACACTTTTTTGTAAGTAGTGAATTAAACACACAGATTGAAGGTTAAGATGAATCAATTTAACACAAAGGACTTATACTAGTTCATCTCAACCATTGGAATTACATCTAGTTCTTGATCAATTGTTCAAGTTCCACTACCCTCTTTTAAAAAGATAGAATGTAATCTTTAAAGAAGACATTATTGACTCAACCTAAGTGTTCTTTGACTTGTCTCTTGATGGAAGAGCATGGGCTAAAGGCCCAACCACTAGAGCTATGGCCAGGAGATTACTTGAAGACTTGACTGCTTCAGAGCTTAGTGGGCCCAATGGGCTTGGTGGGCCTAGGGTGCTTCTCATATGGACCTTACTTGACTAAACACCAAGTTTTATTGCATTTTATTAGTATAGGAAATTACTTTGATTTTGGTCTTGTATTTTGACCATAGACTAGGTTTTATTTTCTTGGGCTTGTATTTGGGCTTCTTAGGCTTTGGGCTTTTGATACCCAATATTAGGCTCATTCTTCTTCTTGTAATTTTTCCTATTCATTGTATTTTCTTGACCATTGTATTTCGGTCATTAGATTAGGGTTTAAGGAGGATTAGTAGTTTAATGAGATTAGGGTAAATTAGGTTAAATTTAGGATGTATTTAAGTTGCATTTAGGTCACACTTTTGGCACCACCTTGGCTGCACAAGTGTGACACCGAAATGCAACCCTAAATGCATACTAAATTCACCCTAATTACATTAAGCACTCATGGGACCGGTCATACACATGTGTGACAAGATTTGAATTCAAATTCAAATTTGAATTCAAATCTTGGCGCCAACATGGTGACCTCTCATGTGGCGCCAAGTGTCTCCCTAGTTTCGGATGCATATATGTCCCTCCTTTCACCTATTGTACTCACTTTGAATATTGAATGAAATTTGAGAGCTTTTAGTGCCAAGTTTCTCTCCTCAAAGTCCCTAAGAGTTCACCTCAAAACCCTAGGAATTTCTCCTTATTCCTTACCTTTGAAGTGAGTTCTCCCTTGATTCTTGAGCTTGGGTGCTTCCATCCAAGGCTTGAGCCTTCATCCATCCGTGTTCCTTCTACATTCAAGAACAATTCCATTCGGTGATATTTCCTTGAAGAAGATCCGTGCCTAGGAGGAACTTAGGAGGAGTTCATTCTTCACCTCTCCTACTTCCTTCTATCATCTCTTCAAGCGAAATGCCTTAGTATTCTTTTAAACAAGAAAGTCTTTCTAGACTTTATACATCAAGTATTCTTTGAACTCAAAGCCTTTTTATATGCTTCAAGCTATAAAAAAAAGTTTGCACTACGTAAACTAACAAAGAATCGTCTTATTACACACAAGATGTGATAATCCATCAAGTATAAAGAACATCTTTATAGAGAGTATAAGAATAAAGAATAAGAATGTGCATTCTTGTTCATTTTTCTTTGTTCGTCCAAGCTTCTTATATATGTAAAACCAAAAAGTGACCATTACAAATCCCTTGAGTCTGTCTTGTGGATTTTCTTCAGCTTCCTTCACCTTAATTTCTTGTACAAAATATTTGTATGTTAGTGCATCATATGGTCACTTTATTTGATCAAGGATGATGTTTATCAACTTTAGAGTACAAAAGGGTAGAAATTGTAGCATGTGTCACTCCAAAACAACTATTAGTTAACTTTAAGTACCTAAAGGGTTGTTATGACACCCTTTACCCCACATACATATTACACAATAAATATAAAGTACATTTTCTGAGTAAATAAAACTTTGTTAATCGAAACAAGGTTCCAAAACACATACATAGAGAGTTCATATTCATATTTCACAAATTGTAGTCCAATATAGAAATGATGACAAAATAAAATATTAGTCCTTTCAAAACACAATAACAGTAATGAAAGTCCTATGCTAATCCTAACTAAGTCTGATGTCACATGTCCTATCAAAGAACAGCCCATAATGAGACTTAAACCTCATCACCAACATCCTCATGCTGATGATCACCTGTAACACAATAAAAATCACATAGAGAAACAAGGGAGTGAGAAATATCTTACTCTAGTTCAGACGTAGACATAAATGTTAGGTAACACACAATCAAGCACAACTCTCAAGTTACAGATACATTAGATCACATGCACATTCACTTATCTTGCAATGATGTCATGGACTTGACTCATAAATGCATGCATGTGACGCTATATAGAAGTTGTGCATTTCTCATCATTGGTATGCTGCTACAACAACATACCTGGGGGCACGTTCATTCATAAATACATCACTGGTGACCAAAGGTACACCTGAAATAACTCAATACATCTCTAGCATGCGGCCTAAGCGGCACACCTGGAATAGTTCAATACATCATTGGTGACCCAAGGTACACCTAGAATACCTTAATACATCAATAGCATGCGGCCTAAGCGAAACACTTGGAATAGGTCAATACATCACTAGTGACCCAAGGTACACCAAGAATAGCTCAATACATCACTGGTGACCCAAGGTACACCTAGAATAACTCAATACATCAGTGGCATGCGGCCTAAGCGGCATACCTAGAATAACTCAATACATCACTAGCATGCAGCCTAAGCGGTACACTTGGAGTTATATATGCACATGATGAATGTCACACATTTACTATTTCATTGACTCAATATTTCACTTATGATGTCTCATCATATCTCATATCACTTGTCACATTTAACATCTTCATAATCATCCCATAAGATCATGCACATAAAGGTTCTCATCAAAAGATCATGTCCCTAATTGTTCCTTATAGGGTTTCCCACAAGAACCTACAGAGCACTCTAATTCATATAAAAACTTATCTATTTTCGACATTAAATACATATTCATGAATAACATCCAACAAGCAACACATTAGAGACAACAAACACCTAAACAGAAAACTTTCACATTTTGCATGCATCAGGTAAGGGATTGGGAGCCAATTCTACTATAAAACATATCTAATATCAAAATAAAACACATATTCATACTCAGAATCGTACAAGGAATACAACAGAACAGTCAAAAAGCAAAACAGAAAATATCCACAAAGTACCTCTTTCCATAAGCATACATCAGGCAAAAGATTGGGGCCAATTCGACTGTCAAACATATCCAATTTCAAAAATTAAACACATATTCATACTCAAAATCATACAAGGAATGCAATAGAATAGTCAAAAAGAAAAATAGAAAACATTCATAAAGTACCTATTTCCATAGGCATACATCAGGCAAAAGATTGGGGACCAATCCGACTACCTAACATATATTCCGGCCCACACCCTCAAGTGAGGTCTCTCACTCTCCCTTATCTTGATGAGTAGAAGACGAAGCGCTTACGGTTCCCCGATGACCTCCTCCTCATGATTTTCTTGAGTTTTTAGAGCACAACACGTAGAAAAGAAGGAGAAAGTGAGAAACGTAAAAATAACTCTTGACAACCTCCTTTCTTAAAAATAATAATAATAATATTTAGCAAAAAATCACTACGTCTCTCTTTTCCTTCTCATAAAATAATTAAAATAATTAAACATATTTCCTCCTTTTAATAAATAAAATAAATATAATTCTTGATAAAAACATATCTTCATAAAAAATAGTCTTATAGAAAATAATCCAAATATTAATTAAAAATCATGTTTTATATTAAAATAGTGCTCACATAAAATTGATAAGCAATATAAAATATACTTCTCCCTTTTAGTAAAAATAACATGTTTTATCTAAAAGTAGAACTCATATCTACTAGCTAAATAATATTAAAAATCCATCTAATAAACACTCTAAAATATTAAAATAAATACAAACATATTATTAATAAAATACATTTCTTAAATTTACCTATATATCACTAATCAAAATAATCTTTATAAATCATGTCTCATAAATAAAATAGAGCTCATACAATTAATTAAATAATATCAAAATTCTAAAATAACTATATTAAATATCAAAATAATTTTAAAAATATTATTTATATAAAGTATGAAAAATTGAGGTGCTACAGTTGTTCTTATCCTTTCTATGAAGAAAAGCAAACATCATCCTTTCAAAGTCGTTCTGACTTAAGAAACTTTTATTTTTTCGATCTATACATTGAAAACAAATTACAAAACATCAAACATAATAAATATTGTAATAAATTTATTCATCTATGACAGATGATACATTCATCAATTTGATATATGGACGTTTTTAAGACTTACTCTTATATGATCTTAAAGAGTTCTCATGCAATCATCTTATATAATAGTTTTTCTATACTTTACAAAAATGAGTACATTTGTTAACATTAAAATATAAATTTTAAGAGATTATAATTTACCCTTTGATATAACATTTTTTCCTTTTTTATGGTGACAACACCTAATCATCATTCTAGTCTTGATTTTTTATATAATTATTGGTTGTAATAACTAGGTGACAATAAATTTACACACTCTTAAATTTATTTATTGATAATTTCAAATTTTGTCTGGTGATGCAACTATATCAAGTTAACTATAATGATCAAAATAAAATTTGGAAGGCTATCAATGAATGATTTGTTAAAAAGGTATGAATTGCTTGCTTTTTATGTGGGGTTGTCTTATCATATTATTTTAATGATGAAAATTAAATCCGTAAATAGTTTATGAATTTTGTGAATATTTTTTACTTATTTTAATAAGTTTCACCGTGAATAATATAAACCTTATTAGGTATATTAAAATAAACCTTTGATTATATATTCTTGTGATACACCTATGTCAAATAACCACTTAATTCAATTATCTGTCTAAAGTCTAAATTCTTCCTAATCCTCCATTAATGGAAAAATTGTGTTAGAAATACACTCACTGCATGGCAGAATAGTTCATGAAAATATAACTGCCAAAGGTTTAATTTGTCATTGTGAGAAATATTGTTGATAGTCTTGAAGGACAAACCTTTTTCAAAATATAAAGACTAAGAGAATCAAATTTAAATTTAAGAAATTAAAAATATTATTTTAAAATTTAAAAATTAAAAAGATATTTAAACTAATGTTGTACATTGTGTTTTCAGATAATTCTATATGTGGGATGATGACAATTACACAAATTGAAGTTCAGAACTCTACATTGACCACAATTGAACACGAACATTCCCAAAGTGGTTAAGAAACCACCAACACCAACACAAATAAGCCCATACAACAAAGTAAAATCTGTAACACCCTATTTTTATAAAAACATAATATAGCTATTTTATTAATAATTTTGATATTTTATTTTTATTAATAAGAGCTGTTTAATATTTATTTTATTATTATTTATTATATTTTTGATAATTAAATATTTTGAATTTAGTAATTGTTAATTATTTTATACAAATATATATGGTGAGGTTTTATAATTAAAGATTATACTATTTAATTATTTATGATAAGGGAAGGGAGCTTATTTTTGATAATCATGATTCACATTTTTACTAAAAGGTTAAAGGGAGGTTATGTTTTTTTAAAAAAAAAAAAAAACTGATCAGTTTTACATTTTACATTTTTCTCACGTACATGTTTACACTTTAGAGCTTGGAGAGCTGGAAAGGGGAGGAAACCACCCCAGAGTTAATCATTCATCTTTTTTTGCTCAATAAGGTAAGGGGGAGTGAGAAATCTCGCTCTGGGTGTGGAAATGTATGTTGGGTAGTGAGAATGGTCCCCAATCTTGTGTTTGTTGTATGGTCATATATGAGGGGTTTTCCCAATTGTGTCTTTTTCACTTTTTGTTCTTCTTGTATATGATTAATTGTATGAATTGCTTGAATTTATGATTAATTTCAGTTTTAGAATTGTATTTATATGATCTGAGATCTCTATGGGTTCCTATGAGAAACCCTAAGGAAATATATTGGGAGTTATATGAGAAGATTGTTTGAAGATGTAATTGTTTGAGTAAATTGTACTATTTTAATGTTTATTCTATGATTTAGAACACTTTTACCAATTGTGTGAAGAGATTGATGATTTGGATACAGAATGCATAAAATCGCAGATCTGGAGAGTTTTAATCGCAAAAACCATGTTGAGCACCATTTCTAGTGCTAAGCGTCAAGGTGATAGAAATTTGGTAATGTTGTCTGTGATCCTTAGGCTAAGCGTGAAACTGAGGCTTAGCGTGGCCCACGCTAAGCGTGAGATTCCACGCTTAGTGTGGCTCAACTAGAGAGTTAAGATTACTCTCTAGAAGCCTTGTGTTGAGCACCCAGTATGGGGCTGAGTGCTAGCTAGTTGCACTGTTATGCTTCTTCCCTTCTTTGTTTAATGAATTCTATTAGTGTAAGATGAATCATGTGTTACTTCTCTTTGATGATCTATGATACACAATGATGTGAATTTCTTATGTTATTCAATGTCATCCTTCAATGAATGTAATTAATGAGTATGCACTACAAGAAAATTCGCTATTACAGACGGCAAGAATCCGTGGGAAATGCCAAAAATCCATCGGTAAATTGCTCGTCTGAAATATTTACCGACGGATTTTTATCCGTGGGTAACTTTCCGACGGATTTTCCCACGGATATATCCGTGAGAAATTTCCCACGCATTTATCCGTGGGAAATTACCCTGAAGGAATTTTTCGTGAAAATTATAATTTTTTTTAATTTTAATAAATTTATTAATGTAACGACCCTCATTTGGCCTCTCAAGGGTTCTATTTTACGATATTTCATTGTAAATGGGGTCCCCTGGTGGCCACGCACCCAGCGCGATGAACAGCGCTAAGCGCGAAGCTCAGCAGCAACCTTACCAAGTTCGAAAATTTGCCCAAAAACCTGTAAAAAACCCACTTTCCAGCACATGCAATCCAACCAAAATACCACATTTTCATCCAAGAGTTCAAAAATACTACCTTTTTACACATGCAACAACAAAATAAGAAAATCCCCAAATTTTCTCTCATAACCCCTACAACCCCAAAAACTCCATTTCAGCATTCTCAACCAGAAATCAACTATCATGAGCCACCAGATGAGTTCCTTGACTCATCCCAACCAAACATGCATCAAGAAATCTAACTTCCCTTACCTCGGGCAAAGATTCCGAGCTCCGGGAAACGGAAGGCGAAAAACGGAGAAGAAGAGAGTTGGAGAAGAAGATGAAGGAAGAGGCTCCGCACGTTTTCAACCAGAAATCAAACCTTCAATCAACACCTTAATTTTAAATGGAGCACCAGCAAGAGAGCACAAAATCAACCACAGAGAAGTGCAAGTGAGAAGTGAGTGAGTAGAGAGTTAAGTGTTCTGGAAGAAAAGGAAAAGAAAGAAAAGAAAAAAAAGGGTCTCACAACCTCCCCAACAACAAGAGTTTTCGTCCCCGAAAACTGACTTACTTGGGAAAAGAAAAGGGTACCTCTCCCTGCACTGCTGCTCCACCTCCCAAGTAGCCTCACCAGTAGCTGCATCCCACAACACCTTCACCAGGGCAATGGATTTGCCCCTCAGCTCCTTCAGCTTATGATCAACCACAGCTACTGGTAACTTCTCAAAGGTCAGATTCTCCTTCACCGGCACATCATCCAGCTCCACTACATGACTCGGGTCATGAACGTACTTCCTCAGCTGGGAGACATGAAACACATCGTGTAGGTTTGAAAGAGACGGTGGCAAAGCCAACCGATAAGCAATCGGACCCACACGCTGTATGATCTGATGGGGACCCACAAACCTCGGTGTCAACTTCCTTACCCTTAGTGCTCTACCCACTTAGCTTTCTTGGTAAGCAAGCTAAGTAGAAGCTTGTGCTTCATTCAAGCTTCTAAGCTTGAGTGTGAACAAGCAATGTGAACACAAATCAAGGTGGGCGGCTCATGGACTTTTTTCTACTCCAACCGGTTTTGAAAAATGTTGATTTGCTTTAGTTAGGTTCATCCAATGTGAATGGAACCTAGCTAAATCAAATCTATGAAAAATTAGGAGTAAAATGAATCTAATATAAAAAATTTAGCCTAGGTCCATCTCTTTGTCCAATTGCTAGTAACACTCTCTAACTTGCTAGTCACACTCTCTAGCTTGCTAATGCCACTCCCAATCCTACTACTAGAAAAATAAGAAAATAGTATATTTCTAGATTAGGTTAAATGGAGTTAAAGTGCCCAAGTAACCTTCCCTAGAAACAATATACAATAGCCCAGCACGGGCCAACCAGAGACCCACATTCTCAAGCTCGCCTAGCACACTCATCATTGCGCCCGGCGAGCTTGGCCAAATGGGGTCCCCTGGTGGCCACGCGCCCTGCGCGATGAACAGCGCTCAACACGAAGCTCAGCAACAACCTTACCAAGTTCAAAAATTTGCCCAAAAACCTGCAAAAAACCCATTTTCCAGCACATGCAATCCAACCAAAATACCATATTTTCATCCAAGAGTTCAAAAATACTACCTTTTTACACATGCAACAACAAAATAAGAAAATCCCCAAATTTTCTCTCATAACCCCTACAACCCCAAAAACTCCATTTCAGCATTCTCAACCAGAAAAAAAAAATATTTTTTCACAGAATTTTCCATGGATTTCCCACGGACTAATACGTGGGTAATTTCCCATGGATTTGTCTGTGGGTAATTTCCCACGGATTTGTTCGTGGGTAATTTCCCACGGATAAATCCGTGGGAAATTCTGTGAAAAATTATCTTTTTTTTTTAATTCAAATTTGTATTAAATAATTATCCTATTTAAAGATATTAAATCAATCATAATTATGTAAATCAAAACAAGTTCACTCATACAAAATAAAATGTCATACATAACAAATAAAGTTTAGGAATTCAAATTTAAAAATAACATATAGTACGATCAGTAGAATTATAACATAATGTCTAATAATCAGAATATCCATGTTGTTGCTATCTAATAATCAAAGATTGAGGGGTTTCAATACATTCTTAGAATGTAAACACATAAAAAATTTTAAAAAATTAATTTAATTATAAAATGAATAATCCAAATTATATTTATAAAATAAAAAGTAAGATAAAATTATAAATTAAATTATAAAATTTTAATAATGTTATAAAACATTAAAAAAGAAAAGAATTAATAAATAATAGAAATAAAAAATTATTAAAATTAAAATATAGAAATTCAAAAATTTAAGACAAAAAGACAAAAATATACTTAAAAAATAATTCAAATTAAAATATAGAAATTCAAATATTTTAAGTGAAAAGACAAAAATATACTTAAAAAATTATTAAAATTAAACTATTTAAATATATAATCATATTATTACAAATAAAATTAGAATATATAAAATAAAAATCAGTTAAGGGTATGATTATCTATTATTTTTTAGACAAAATCAGTTACAAGATGACGTATATTTCCCTTTATCTATTACTATAGATAATCAAACAACTATATATTTAACTATTTTTCTTCTATTCATTTTCTCTGTCTTTATCTCTACTTTCTATATATAGATTCATTGAAGTTTTAAATACTCATATTTATACTCGTTACTTTGTATTTTACTGATTTACTTAAATATAAAATTCAGAAATCAATAAAATGTAAATTTAAGAAATTACTACAACTTAAAAAGAGATTTTTAAATCAATCAGTTATTAGGAACAAAAATAATTATTTAGTGTAATTATTTTAACTTTAATGTTTTAAGTTTTAAATAAAGAAGATTTAATCTAGAAAAAATTCCATTAACCCCTACTTGAAGTTTTTCTCAATAACGTCATACATATATCTCTTCTCAAATTTTTAAGTGAGTATTAATTTTCTTATTTATTTATTTAAGTGGCACATACAACTACTTATATAAGATAATACTATTTATATACTATTAAGAGAAAATAATTTATTAATACAAATATCAATAATTAAATGAGATTTGATCTCTTATTTCATTATTTCAACTTTTTTGAAATTTATTTTAAATATCATGCACACTGTGATTTAAAAAAATATATTAAATTTAAGTAATAATTTTAAAAATGAATTGAAAAAAATCTTATTTTCAAAATTGAAGATCAATGAAAGTTTTCATGAAAATAACATAGTATTGGATGTAATTTAGAAATAAATGATAGATACATATATATGATTTGCAGAACATAATTTAACTTTTTTCCCCCTTATTTAATTAATAACGTTATTTTCAAAGAGATGAGTGATTTTTAAAAATTAAAGAAAAGATATGTTATTCTTAAATTTGGACGTCATGTGTTGGTATTTTTCAAGATAAGTAAAAAAAAACACATTTACGCTAATTAGTTTATAATTTATAATAACCTAATTAAACATATAATTATATATAGGTAAGTCATACCTCACTCACTCTGATTTATATTTATCTTATTCATTACAATATATTTATATTTTGAAAACACCCATATAATAATGAAAATATTATATAATGCATTGTTGTGTGTATCGATGGGATCAGGATTGCTTGCATTTGAAAAATAATTGGCTTATATTTTATTTAATAATTTCAGACGGATTTAAATCCGTGGGAAATTCCGTCAGAAATTTCAGACGGATTTAAATCTGTCGGAAATTTCGTCGAAAATTTCAGACGGATTTAAATCCGTCAGAAATTCCGTCGGAAATTTCATTAATTAAAACTCCGTCGAAAATTTCGTCAAAAATTTCCGACGGATCTAAATCCGTGGGAAATTTTTGACAGATTTTTGTCCGTGGGAAATTATGTGTCGGAAATTTAACTTTTTCTTGTAGTGATGTGATGTGTTAAAAATTGATATGGTTAAACGACATGATAATGTTATATGATAATGAGACATGATAATGTGATATGAGAATGCATAAAGTCTTGATTTAGATACATCATTTGCATAAATATTTTTAAGGGTACCATATGAAATACACTTCCAGGAGGCCCCCTTCTATAAAAGCTTGGAGATTAGTCCTTGGGGATAACTCGATTTGTAAGTCCTAGTCTCGCCCATTATGTGCATGGGATGTATCTTACGGGGCTTAGCTATTCCAACTAGACCCTTGTAGTATGTCCTTTTATTAAGAGTGCGTAAAGGGTGTGACCTGACATGTACTCCTAAACTACTCTACGAGTGTTGCTAGCGACAATGCACCATGTGATGTTTTACTAGCACCACATGCATGATAATATGTAGTCCGTGTCCATTACATGTGCATTTTAATATTATGTTAGCTTATTTACGTCATGGATAAGTGGGGTGTGATACTGTTGTTAATCTATCTAGGTTATGTATATATACATGTCTTGTTTGTGTTTAGCTATCCAATGTGTATTCCTACACCGTGAGCTAGTGTGAGATGTTTCTAACTCCCTTTTCTTTTGTGTTATTTTCCTTTGGTTGTTATACAGGTGATCATCACTATGAGATTGAAGATGTTGGTGATGAAAATTAGGCTTCAGTATTGGGCTTTGTTCTAATAAGACATGTGACATCGTGGCGTAGATAGGATTAAATTAGGATATTATTTTTATTAAATTATTTTGAAAACCTTAACAATTTATTTCTTTTGTAATTTCTGCTGATTATGTTATTTGTTCAAATTACTAATGTTGTGCTCTTTATCTAGACATGTTTGGCATTTTATTATGAAGGAATTATGTTACTATGATTTTATTATCTGTGTTATGGTATGTGAGATAGAGTGTCACAAAATCCAATCAAATTAAAAACAAAAAATTGTTTGCAAGTTAGTCCCTAATGCGAAAAATACATAAAAGAAGAGAATCGAGAGACGAAGCACCTTAGATCTCATAATCACGCAATCAAACCTTAGAACAATGAAACAAAGCTATTTATCACAGAAAGAAAAAGCACGCAGAGAGAAAAAGAGCAAAGGCCTTACGGTAGGTGCTCTCGGGACAAGGGAATTGCGGCATCAAATTCCATACACGCACAAAGAGATGTGGCGTTGTGTTCTCGTTATAGAGTGAGATGGGAAAAGTCCGAGGAGGTTTGGATTGTGCAAAAGGTTCAATCAAATTAAACCTAGGTTAGAATTTGCACGTAGACAAAGTTGCAAGAAGCAGAATAGAATCTATTTTCTTTTTCTTTGGGGTTTGGGGTCGGTGCAACGTGCAAGGGGGAGCGTGTGGTTGAGATGGAGCAGGGAAATATGTTTTTCCTTTTGTGTTTTTTTTTTCCTTTTTTATTTTAAATATAAAATATAAATATTAATCAATCTAAATATTTTAAAATATATTACACATTTTAAATAGAAATATTAATCGATAAATATTTTAAAATCTATTACATATTTTAAATATAAATATAAATATAAATGTTGATTGATCTAAATATTTGAAAATATATTACATGTTTTAAATATAAATATTAATATTAATTAATAAAAACATTTTAAAAATAGATTTAGAAATAAAAATAATTGGAGTTCAATATATGTAGTCACACAATTAAAAATATTTATTTAGAATTAATTTTAAAAAAATAGAAAGTTACAACATTAAAATAAGGAAATTTTGTTTACATAAAAGTAGACATTAAAGGTGGTTATAAAAAATGGTATCGTTTTTAAAGACTTTAATTATATGATAAATATTAAATAAATTTAAATCTTTGAATAAAATTAATATAAAATAAAATTAACAGTAAAAATAACATAAAATCTAAAATTAATATTAAACCTAATTTTTTGTAAAGATAGAAAAGATTACAAAGATAGTCACAATAAGGATTGAACCTAGGTTCCCATGTGTCTAACTTGATGGAAGAGCATGGACCAAGGGTCCAACCACTAGAGCTATGACCAGGAGATTACTTGAAGACTTGTCTGCTTCAGAGCTTAGTGGGCCCAATGGGCTTGGTGGGCCTAGGGTGCTTCTCATTTGGGCTTTAATTGATTAAACACCATGTTTTATTGTACATTCATAGAATAGGAAGTTACTTTGTTTTTTATTTTGACCATAGATTAGGGTTTGTGAACTTTGGGCTTGTAATTGGGCTTCATGGGCTTTGGACTTTTGATACCCAATATTGGGCTCATTCTTTTTCTTGTAATTTTTTCTATTCATTGTATTTCTTTGACCATTGTATTTATGTCATTAGATTAGGATTTAAGGAGGATTATTAGTTTAATTGAATTAGGCAAAACTAGGTTTAATTTAGCATGCATTTAAGTTGCATTTTGAGTCACATGTAAGGCGCCACCTTGGCTGAACATGTGTGACTCAAATTCAACCCTAAATACACACTAAATCAAACCTAAATACACCTAGCACTAGTGTGAACCGGACTTGTGCATGTGAGTTATGTTTTGAATTCAAATTCAAAATTTGAATTCAAAACTTGGCGCCACATGTGAAGCCTCCACATTGGCGCCAAGTGTCCCTAATTCCGGATCCATTTAAGCTCCCTCCTTCACACATTGTAATCACTTTTGAACTTCAGAAATTTGAGAGCATTTCTTTGCCAAGTTTCTTCCAAAAGTCACCGAGATATTGCCTTCAAAAACCCTAGGAAACTTACCTAGTTCCTACCTTTTGAAGTGAGCAATCCTTTGAGCCTTAAGCTAGGGTACTTCCTTCCTTAGTCTAGGCTATTCTAATCCGAGAACCTCCTCCATTTCAAGTGTTCATCCATTTGGTTTCAAGCTCCATTGAAGAGGTCCAAGCTTTGGTGAATCCGGGGAGAAGAACACCTATCACTTCTCCTAGTTTTTGCCATCATAACTACTCCAATCCCATCTCACCCAACCATTAAGCTAACCCTAGTAGTTATAGTAAACCTAATTGATACTACATAACTATCTCTACTGGTCATTTTTAGATATGTTATTGGTGATTTGAAGAATAAAAACAAGGTTTTTAAAAATTATAGAACAAAAAATTAGTTTTTGAGGGAGAGATTCCATAAAGGTTTGGTCATATAGTTTTCTCGATAAAGATTAGTCATCGATAAACTTGATAAATACTTCATTTTAATAATATGATTATTAAAAAATATATTAAAAATATGAATATATATGTTACTTTTTTAAAAAAATTACAGGCTTAAAAATGAATTTATTTTATGCAAATAAGCATTTTTCAATTTTAATTCTTGTAACTTTTTTGATTATTTTTAAATTTTATTCTATATTAGTTTGTCATTTTTGTCCTTGTAAGATATTTTTGTTCATTTTTAATCTCTAAAAGATTGTGTTTTTGTAAATAGTCCATAAGTGTACGTAGGAACTTACAAGAACTAAACATGGGAAATTATAATATATAAGGTACTAAACCTGGAAAAATACAAACTTATAACTAGTTGTTTCAACCCGAAAATTTTTGATCTTGCGATCTGTGGTTTAGACATCCTTTTAAAAATCTCATTAATTAAGGAATGCCCGGATACCAGACTAATCCTTAATTAATGATTTTGAAAATAGGTTCATGGAGTCGCCACCAATTTTTTACTCAAAACATTGGGAAAAGAAAAGGTTTTTAAAGATCCAATAATGGCCTTGATAACCAGAATTGGGTTCAGGGGTCGATTATGTGTAGGAAAGATATTAAGCACCCCTACAACGCCCTTAATCGGTACCCTTAAGATGAAGTTAGCATAGTAAGAATTAATAATTTAAATATTTAATCTCCTTTATGAATTGCTATCTACATGCTTGAAATTTAAATTACACAGTTAATCCTAAAACGTCTACATGATTGCTTTTATTATAACAATATTTGAAATAAGGGAATAGAGAAAAGAAGAGAGAGTCAACTGAAATACCTCTTAAACGAGCTCTATTGAATCTTTAAATATGGAGATCTTTAGGTGCTTTGTGGCAACCTTTTACACTACAATATGCCTCACAAATATCAAGAAATACAATAGGAGGGAGAGAGAGAATTTTCGAGCTCAAAGGAATCTTATACGAAATTTTTCAGCCTTGAAAACTGTGTCGAGTCTGCTATTTATAGACATCAGAAGTTGCCAGAATGGCCCGTTCTGGATCTATACGTTATGTGTTAATTTCTCATCTTGTAACGGTCCATTCTGAAACCAAAATGACCCGTTCTACAATTGAGTTTTAACTAATAACTGCCATGTTGGAACGACCCATTCTAAACTAGGGTTTTAGGCCTTTTGGGTGGATTGGAATGGCCCGTTCTAGTTTTAGAATAGGCCATTCCAGCTTGAGAACAACTCGTTCCAGTTTGGGAATGGAACGGGCCGTTCCATTTTGGGAACAACCCGTTCTAGGCTACTAAGTCACCTTTTGTTGGGCTTTATGCCTTCTGATGTCATGTCTTGTTGTTTCCATGCTTTGGGAGTTCTTTTCCTTGATAATAGACGTTCATTTCATTTCTTTTGTGGGTCCAAACGAAATTGGGTGTCTACAACTACCCCTATTTACTTGTCCTTTGGAATAGCTATGTGTTACTTTTCCAAAGGCAAGTAAAGACGTAGACATTTCATCCAAGTCTTCTCTTCGTCACTTTGGTGTTGGCAGTTCTGCGTTACTTCCCTTGGATAGGTGTATTTGCTTGTATCCTCGCCTTTTAGAGCGACTGAGTGTTGGGTTGCGTACTCTATTGGGTAACAAGGGTGAAAAACTTTACACCTGATCTTCGATCTTCAAGTAGATGCTCCATTGTTTCTCTTGTGATAGTGCGTTCTTTTATTTGTAGCTTGTTGAAGAGGGAGTATTTTCGTAGCTCAGCTTTCCTCATGGCTTTGTCGTATACTGGATTGGGAGGTGAGTACCGTCTCTCTAGAATTTTTCCTCATGGCTCTGTCGTATACCGGATTAGGAGGTGAGTACCTTCTCTCCAAACTTTTCCCTCACGGCTCTGTTGTACACCAGATTGGGAGGTGAGTACCGTCTCTCCAGACCTTTCCCTCATGGCTCTGTCGTATACCAGATTGGGAGGTGATTATCGTCTCTCCAGAGCTTTCCCTCATGGCTTTATCGTATACCGGATTGGGAGGTGAGTACCGTCTCTCTAGACCTTTCCATCACAGCTCTGTCGTATACCAGATTGGGAAGTGAGTACCGTCTCTCCAGACCTTTCCCTCACAACTTTGTTGTATACCAGATTGGGAGGTGAGTATAGTCTCTGCAGACGTTTCCCTCACGGCTTCGTCATATACCAGATTAGGAGGTGTTTTGTGATGCCTCTAGTTTGGGCTACTTTTGTCTTTTGTTCATATGCTGTCAATTGAAATTTGTGTTTCTTTTTTTTGGCGTTTCTTGTTGAGATGCAAAAATGTTGAATGCTTATTTATGCAAGATTTATTTATTTATTTTTGAATAATCCCCCTTTGGTAAAGGAAGCTTTCTAAGTGTGTGAAATTCTTTTGGATGCATGCAATGCATGTTGATTTTAGTTTTTTTGAAGGTGGCTTCCCTTTTCTCCTTCTCACAAATAAACTACTCTGCTTGATGCACTACATTTAGTTGTATTGGCCATTTTATGTATTGAACCATCTTGGGGCTCTCTCTTTTCTTTTTTTTTTTTTGTTTAGAAACCCTAACTTTTGCCTAGGATGTATCCTAGCAGGTATTTTTACTTTTTTCTTTTGCCCTAATTTTTGCCTAGAATTCCGTTTGCGGGTTTTCATCCCAGCAGGTCATTTTCATTTTTTCTCTTTCTTTTTTTTTTGGACATGTTCAAATTTTGACAACCATCAACAATATACGTCATTAGGATGGGACAAGATAGAAAGGAAAGAAAGGATGATTTAGAATGAATGGGTGGTTGAGGTAGGTCAGTGTTTAAGTTTTCAAACAAACATTTCCTTGGATAATTATTATAATCATTCTTCTAATTATCTTGGACTACATGTCTGAGTCTCGAGCAGAGTCTTCATAAAGTTTTGGCCTTTTGTAGGAGCTCTGCCTTTTGGTTTTCAACTAGGAAAATTGTCACTTACTATTTTTAATCTTTTTAGATCCCTAATTTTTCCCTAGGACATATCCTAGCGGGGACTTTTGATTTTTTTTTAATCTTTTTTGTGTGTGTCTAGGACGCCCTTTGTGGGTTTTCATCCTAGCGGTATTTTGCAAGCAGCGACTTTTTTTTTGGCTTAGTACTTCTTTGCTTTGACAAAACTTCTTGCTATCCATGTTAGGGA